CTCCAACTCTGAACATCATGCAATCTTCATTTAAATTATACATTAATTAAATTAGATTCATGTTTGTATCTCTTGGCCTACTTACTGCTTTCGAAAGTCTTACTGAGGAACTAATATATTAGGTCGTCAAGAAATTAATGTCGCGTTTTGGAACACTTTCATTAACCCCCCCCCCCAAAAAAAACGAAGCGCATAAACGTGTGTAATGTTTAGTATACTCTAAACCCTTATAATGATGGCACAATACTAGACACACATTCGGCATGTAATGCTGTTTGAATACAAGAAGGGAAACAACGCCTCTGTAGCCACACATAATATCAAAGAGGGCTATCCGCGCTAGCCGTCCTTAATTTAGCAGTGTAAGACAAGAGGGAAGGCAGCTAGTCATCACCACCCACCGCCAACTCTTGGGCTACTCTTTAACCAACGAATAGTGGAATTGACCGTCACATTATAACGCCCCCACGGCTAAAAGGACGAGCATGTTTGGTGGGACAGAGATTCAAACCGGCGACCCGCAGATTGCGAGTCGAGCGCCCTAACCACCTGGCCATGCTGGGCCAGAATATCAAAGAAGTTTATGGAAATGTTTTGAACGTTCGTAAGTGTCAAAGATGGTTCAGCTAGTTTCGTAAAGTTGACTTTAGCCTGAAAACTGTTATGGCAGGGACCGACATGTTGGAATTGATATTTATGCTCTGAAGACGCTTTTTGAGTCTTACCCCAGGCAACACACTCGTGAAATGGCCCTGAATTTGCATGTCTCTCATGAAACAATACGTAAACATCTAAAAAATATGGGAAAACTCCATAAAGAAGATGTTTGGGTGCTTCACGAACTCTCCGATAATCATTGTTTCCAACGTGTGAATGTTGCTTTCTCTCTTCTGCCGCACAATGCGCGTGAACCATTTTTGGACAGAATTGTCACCAGTGATGAAAAATGGATTCTCTATGCGAATATTAAACGACAAAAACAATGGCGCAGTCCTAGACAAAAAACCCACTTCTGACCACAAAACCTGGATTCCATCCGCAGAAAGTGATGCTTTGCACTTGGTGGGACATTGAAGGAGTATTTTATTTCGAACTCTTCAATCCACAGCGAACTGTCAATGCAGAAATCTATAGTCAGCAAAGGGAACGATTAAATCAAACCCTTCATCGGAAACGCCCTTCAGTCGTCAATCGGAAAGGTGTTCTTCTTCTCCACGACAATGCACGTCAGCATGTGGCACGTTTGACACAACACAAGATTATGGAGTTGGGTTGGGAAGTTCTCCCCACCCACCATGTTCTCCAGATATGGCACCATCAGATTACCATCTTTTTTCGTTCGTTGCAACATCATCTTAATGGGAAAACGTATGCAAACGTGGAAGTTGGTAAACAGGACATCGATATGTTTTTTGCTTGAAAGTCAAGTGATTTCTTTAATCAGGGCATTAACAACCTGACTGTAAGATGGAAAAGCATCATCGATAAGAATGGATACTATTTCATTTAATAAATGCTTTGTTTTGATATACAAGTTGTTCAGGTTGTTCATCTAAAAAAAGCGACATTAATTTCTTGACGACCTAATATTACATGGTTTCTGTCCAATAACGAACATTCTGAACAATGCTGAAAATATAAGAAGACGGGTTACTCTTCATTTTACTTAAAATATCGTGACGAAAAATAACCTGAGCATATTTTGAAATGTTTTAACAACCGCCGCCTTAGAGATAATATTACGTTAATTAATAATTTTTACCTAAGCGATGGAATTCATCGTGCTTACAAGTAGTTCAAATCATCTATAATTACTGTATAATGTGCCCGAACTCCATCCATTTCATCTTCCAAATAGTTCTCCATATCTCTCTTTCATCACCAATGTTTGCAGACACTTATTCAGTCAGTGTACGTGCCGTAAACTCGCTATACAGGTTTGGTTCTTTATTTTACGCGCTCTGTTCGCGGAAGGGAATAAAACCATATATTGTAGCTTTGTAAGTCCGTAAACTCAACGCTGAACCACCAGACGACTATAGATTGAGTGAGTATTTTTTTCAGTCTTAATGGGTAAAACAATAAAATACAGTACATGATTTTTACATTTAAAGTCTAATTCTGTTCTCTTGCTGCCTTGTACAACTGAACGTTATACAACATATCCTCATTTAAAGTGCCTCACACTGTACAGTCACAATATATCCTCATTTAAAGTGCCTCACACTGTACAGCCACAATATATCCTCATTTAAAGTGCCTCACACTGTATAGTTACAACATATCCTCATTTAAAGTGCCTCACATTGTACAGTTACAATAGATCCTCATTTAAAGTGCCTCACACTGTATAGTTACAATATATCCTCATTTAAAGTGCCTCACACTGTATAGTTACAATATATCCTCATTTAAAGTGCCCCACGCTGTATAGTAAAAATATATCCTCATTTAAAGTGCCTCATATTGTACAGTTACAATATATCCTCATTTAAAGTGCCCCGCACTGTACAGTTACAATATATCATCATTTAAAGTGCCCCACACTGTATAGTTACAATATATCCTCAGTTAAAGTGCCTCACACTGTTCAGCCGCTGTAGATGAGAAAGCATTCTGATCTATATTCTGGAATTGTCAAAATTCTGAGAAGTTTTTCCATTCTACAAATACAATGTTTTCGTGACCCCAAGTTCTCAATAACGCCACAATAACTGACAGAGATTCGAATCTGCAACTCCCAGATTACGAGCCCAACGCCCTCACCAGTAGGCCTAGCTTGAGAGCTTGATCTGTCCAATTGAATTACAAGCATTACACGTCTTGTAAATACGGTGTTAAAAACGTTTTTTGTTTCTTTTTTTCACTGATCACGAAACTTTAAATAAAATCTACTCTTGCCCATCCATTGCGAATAACATTAATACAAACTTACCAATAAACTTAATATTCTCTTATCTCACCAGTTTTAAGTGGGTAAAATAGATTTATTTAACATCCATCATATACGAGATGATGGCCTAACGTGCTGCCGTAATGTTGCATGTATTCCGTCAAATAAATATAATTTTACTTTCTTAAAGTTTTCGAGTGTTTAACTACATTTATGTACATATATTGGGTCCCTTTCTAAAATAAAACTTTAGTCTGCTTATTAAATAACTTATAAACACTCATATCAACGATAAATCAATGATTTAAATCTATCGATACCAGAACGAGCTCTTACTTAAACTTTCCTACTTACCAAATAGTTTAAGACATAAAACCTATCTCAAGATGGACTTAGTATTACTTGTATTTCCTTCTTGTTATCTGTGACCCAAAGCCTACGAAACAGTTTAGCTGTTGTTATATTTTCATCTTTGTGCTCACCTGTGAAATAGAAGTTCAATGTCTGTTACTTGTACAGTCTTTCGACCAGCATGGTCTGCGAAGGTCATCAAGTCGGAAGAGAGATTCTTGAAAAACTGGTCACAACTGTAAGAGTTGACAATAATGTCATGACGGGAAAATCTAATAAAATGCTGTATAAACACATACACGTGCGCGCGCGCACAAAGAGAAGGCGCTAAATAAGATTAGAAAATAAAAATACAATTAGTCAACTCTTAAATAAATTGTATACAGAATGTAATTGACAAAAGAGTCAAAGGAAATTATTAATATATATACATATGTTCTTTCTATTTATTTTACATTGTGGTTTTCGCATTCATTGCAATGTTTCCCAGAAGGCTATAAAAATCTACCACCTAACCGTCAAAACGTTAGTGCAGATAACACCAACCACCAGAGTGCTGAAAGAGGTTTTTATGGAAAGTAAGCTGGAAGAGGGATGCACCATGCATTCTTCAACTGGAAATAATATATCACTATGGAAATGAAACAAGAAAAATGACTGTAGCTCCCTCCTAGCTTCAAGAGTACAAAAATATCACATTACTTGTTTTTATTCTTTTTTTTAATATTAAGAGAGATTCTTTTAACTCCTCTCTTAAGTTCTAGTCTTTTTCTTCTTCATCTTTTTATGCTCTGTCTCTTTCTGTTCATTTTTCTTTCATCATAGCTAGCAAATATTTTATCTCGCTTTATGTTATTATTGTTATCTTGAAGTTTAATCAAAGTTCTATTTTAGTTTCACCAAAACAAGCCCACTTCTGACACAAGTATTTTAACTTCTTTGTTTCACTCAAAAATCTACCACAAAAGTATCATAATACGGTTGAAGATGTTTTTATGCAACTGGTTTCAAAAATAGTGCTTATTATATGGGCCATACTTTATATGTGCAAATTAATGTTTACATGTAAATTGATTGATTATTAAAATGGATTGTGCGGGAGCTATTCTGTTACAAACATGTTGCAAGTCGATTCTTATTGGTAACACATTGAAACAGAAAGTAAAACAATGTGAATTGTCAACTTCTCAAAATCAATACAAATAGTAAGCAACTTTAATAACATTCATATTTTAATCTTTTTGATAAAGGCCGAACAGAACTCATAACTGAACTATAAAAAGTGGCCCGCCTAGTACTTATTAAAAAAAAAAAGGGCCAATAAAACAGTCTCTAGAGTGCGCTATAATTTACAAGTATAAAATAGAAATATTTATATAGTTTGTAATTAAGCACAAAGCTACACAATGGGATATCTGTACTCTGCCCACCACAGGTATCGAAACCCGGTTTCTAGCGTTGTAAGTCCGCTGCGCCACTGGGGGACAATATACACTGTAATCAATAAATGTGTAACAGAAGATTAAATTAACTCACAGGCAAAGGCGTTAAATATTTTCACGTAGAGAAGACCAAAAACTTAATGTTTCAAGAAACATTTAGTTAAGTTGTTGCCCATTTGATGGCAACAATATGTCTCGTTTTTTAACATTTCATGAACTGACTCCTTTTATGGTTTTGCATTACATGTGTTTTATATTTACGTTTCTTTATAAATATTACAAAAGTTATCCTGGTATTTAAAAAAAATAACTGTAACCAATAGTGCAGGTAAAAGTAAAATTCCGCTAATTAGGTTTGGATAAATGTTCAGGAAACTACTGTAAAGCAAGACTAAATTTGGTTCAACTTGTCTCTTTACATGTTGGGTTATATGGAATCTAGGTTTAATTTGCTTTAACAAGATTAAAGTTTTCGATTCAACTCTTAGAAACTTTTCACCAACAAATTAAACAGAACACTGTTTTGGTCAAACAGATAAATTATTCTAAAATCGCATTCTATAAATTAACGTAAATATATTCAATAAAATTATATTTAATACTTGTGTTAATTTCTACAATAACAATAGTGAAAGTCGTTTTTAATTTAAAAACACAAATTTCAGGATTGAGCGGATGCGCTTCCAAAAAACAGTGTTGAAAACGAATTTCGAAAGCAAAGACCTTATGTTATCTTGAAAGGAAAATCAATAAGTTTCGTAATGTGTGAGAATGGTATAAACGAAGTAATAAAAGTGATAATATAAAGAAATCATGAAAAGGGTTTATATAATAGATACACAGACAAAAAGTTTTCAGGTGTAACAACCAAGCAACGCAAGCGCTCACCAAAACTAGGACAGTCTGGAAGGTGAAACTAGGATAGTCTGGAAGGCATCCCTCTCATTTACCCAAGAAAAATTAAAACATTAAACAGTTGTTGAGATCTGACAACACATTCTGCCAGTTTACATGTAGGAGAGTATTATCATTTATTTTTTTCATGAAGTTACACGTCAAGCAAAAATAGTAACATGTATCAAACACTGTTATTTACGAATAATAATATTTTGCCGTATACATTTAGGGCTATTCTGGTTGTACTCGTTTTGTCTACACAAATACATTAGACTGTAACAACCATGGATAAGAATTGCATCATCTTTGGATATAACACTAACAGACTTGTAGAACATTGCTTAACTTTCTATGGCCACCTGTCAAACATGCAGTAATACCTTAAATACATGTATTATTGTTTAACTGAAAATGTTATCAGATCATAAACCAAAGACTGAAGCATTAACAAAGTCACGAGCAATGGATTTCACTTCCATGAAGCGCGGGTCGTCCGAAGTTGACGAGCCACCTATATAGGGCTACTAAAATATTATTCACAAACTAAACACGGAATTATTTTACAAAAACGAAATAGCAACATTGATACTTATTAAATATTATATCAACAATATCTCAATAGATGGTGTACAATTTTCATATCAAAATAGTGAAATTTTAAGTATATGCAAACGATATAAAGATTAAACAACAACAGGTAATAGTTAAAAATATATGTGTTCAATTATAACAAGCTATTCATTTACGCTATAATCCGTGAAGTTGACGAAATGGGTAACTCATAACAAAAACAATACCAATGACAAACTTACCAAAGTTCAACCAGCTCCAAAGCTTCTCGAGTCACTTTTAAACCACAGAACTGTTCAAACAGACCCCGGGTAAGATTCGATGGTAAGCGATTTTTATTACGCTTTCTCTTATTGACACGTGTTGTTAGTTTTGATTTCACTTGCTGATGATGAACTGGTCCAGAAAGTTGTTTTTTACTTTGCACTTGCTTTCTATATAAAATAAAGGATATTTGCACTCTTTTTTTTTTTTTTGAGGTTGATGATAACATGTGCTTATTGATTATAGCCTGAAAAATATTGCAAGTGATTAAAAAAGTTATGTATAGCGTATTAAAAAGCTTATCTATGTGGAAGCTAAATATTAAATAAATCTTGGAAGTTCTGATGACTAATTTAAACTTCAGATTTCATAATATACAGATTGATTACAAAACTGGGAAAAGACATGTTTTAAATTTTCATTTAAATGAATTTTGCAATTTGTCAAAATGTAATCATACGTTTCGGAGATTTAATCTTGTAACATTTTGATATACTTCAGTTCAAAAACTTCATTATTTCGTTAAGAAAATATTCAATATTACAGTGAAGTATCATTTACACGTACAAACTGTTATTTTTTTATATATAAAATGTAAAAATGAGCAATGACAGAATGGAGGAAGTTACGTACTCTGTGTAAAGTTTTCATTCTTATTATATTCAGTACTAATAGAGGGAGCTATTGTCACCTTTCCGCTTGCACCCATTGATCTCTATACTGAACTGAGCACTGACCCTTTCACGTGAAGTCACCCGAAGTTATAAGTGGCCATCTTGTTGGTCCATTCGTACTTTCAGTTGCTAAGCGTAGAGTTTTCATATTGTAGCCTGTATCTAATGTAAAAATGCCAATGAGTGTGTTGCATGTAATTGTAACAATAGACTATGAGTTGATTTGTTTAATTTTGTTTGTTAGAAGCTAAGCACAAACTACACAAGGGGCTATATGTGATCTTCTTATCACGGATATCGAAACCCGGTTTCTAGCGTTGTAAGTCCGTAGACATACCGCTGTGCTACCGGGGGGGGGGGGGGCAAGAGTTGGTCCTGTGTCGTTTCACTGGTAGAGAAAGGTTATTGTTTCTTCCTTGTAAATAAATTAATATGAATTGATTTGCCACTGTTAACATAATACAATTAGTAACGTTATTTGATTGAGGTGAACTTTCACTTTTCAGTACATATTAGTTTGGTTCGTTTTGAATATCGTGCAAAGCTACTCGAGGACTAAATGTGCTAGCCGTCCATAATTTAGAAGTGAAATACTAGAGGGAAGGCTGCTAATCATCACCACCAACTCTTCGGATACTATTTTACTAACGAATAGTGAGATTGATCGTTACTTTATAACGTCCCCACGGCTGAAAGGGCGAGCATGTTTGGTGGGACGGGGATCTTTCCATGGAGACAAGTAGTATCCAACAAAAACCTCCAGAGTGTGTGTTGAACATTTTGAAGAAAAATGTTTCGATAGGTTAAAATGTTCGTCTGTTTGTAATTAAGCACAAAGCTACACAATGGGCTATCTGTGCTCTGCCCACCACGGGTATCGAAACCCGGATTCTAGTGTTGTAAGTCCGCAGACATACCGCTGTGCCACTGGAGGGCATGTTCTTCTGAGTATTAAGTGTTTATTCTAAGAAAACTTCTGTTGATGTTCAGCTGTCTAGTCTGTTTTTTTTTAATTCATTATAAATTGTTGAACTCTTTTTCTAGATAAATGTATTATAACAAAGCTAAATAACTAAACAAACTTAACTGGTATCGCACATAAACCTATGTTACTGGTAAGAAACTAGTTAGTTTGTTTGTTTCTAATTAAGCACAAAGATACACAGTGGGTTATCTGTGCTCTGCCCACCACGGGTATCGAAACCGGGTTTGTAGCGTTGTAATTCCGCAGACATACAGCTGTGTCATTGGGGGGCAAGAAACTAATTAACAGAAAATTGTAAGTATACTTTAAATTTAGTATTCTATTCTGTATCCGATTAAACATATAACATCTCCGTGAAATCAGTGAGAATATACTTGAAACTTACTAAGAAATTGCGATACCATTACTATTTTTAAGAAGATCCATTTCTATACATGGCCGTAGCTAGTTATGAGAGCACCGATATTGTGTGATCGGTTTTTTTCGTGTCCTTTACTGTCTCTCTCACACACACAGTTGGAAGTTATAGCCTGAAACCGAAGTTTAACTTTGGTAGAACATTGGCTCTGGTTACGGTGATGTTTCTTTACGTAAGCTAAAACTATGGTGCTCGTTCTTATGCTGTTTATATCAACAGACTTTAATTTTTTATTCTCAAGTGGCATTATAGCATTTATGTAGAAGTTAATAAAAATATGACAGCAAGAAAAAAAAAGGTTGCCCGTACAATGAAGTATTCATTAAAGAAGGACAAAAAATAAATGGCTTCAGTAAGTTATTGATTCAATTACATGTCGTGATTTATTTGCAGTTAGCCAAAAAAGAGGACATCAGTACGAAAGTACATCAATTCAAGCACACTTAACAGTGTTGTTTCACATACAATTACCTAAAAAAAATAGACACAATAGTTGATCATTTGAAGGAAAAAAATAAAGTTTTCACACACACACAAAAAAAGGCGATTGAAACTATTGTTATTTCATTAAACGTGATTGTGCAAGCTCTAAAAGATGAAAATTTAATACCGAACAATGGTTTTAATATGATAATCGGCGCCTTTTATGATACCCCTTTACAAATCTTTAACATGGGATCGGTTATTAACAGGAATAAAAAATTGACTCGCAACGCATATCCTCCACTTTAGCGGTCTTTTACTTTGACATTGAAGTTTTACTCCATCAAAGCCTATAATTTTCAAAGATATACTTTCAATCATGTTCTACCACATTTGTCTATTATTCGAAAGTGGTGCCAAAGCGTTAATGGGACACCAGGCTTTACACAAGAAGCATTTAATGTATTACAAAAACTGGCAACAAAGGAAATGAAGGAACTTGTAAAGATATTTGTGCTTTTATGGTTGATGAAATGACAATAAGATAACATGTGGAGTGGGATGGAAAGAAAATTCTTGGCAATGTTCACATTGGTACAGATTCAGAAGACGATACAACTCCTCTTGCCAACGATTTATTGATGTTTAAGGTGGTTTCTCCAAACAACAACTAGGGGGCGCCTGTTGGCCACTTCTTTATTAATGGCATGACAGGACAAGAACGAGCAAACCTGGCGAGAATATGCCTACAAAACCTGTGGGATGTTAAGATTACAACTATGAAACTTGTTTGTGATATTCCAAGTTGCCACTTCTCCATCTTGAAAGAACTGAAAGCTAATATGTCGCCAGGGAAATTATAGCCATGGTTATTGCACCATAGTAATAAAAAATGCAAGCTTTATGTTATACTTGATATATGCCACATACTAAAACTCATTTGAAACACCTTTGCACATGAGGAAAATTTAAAAAGTGGATATGGTGAGTACCTTAGATGGCAGTTCATAGTGATTTGCAAGAACAAGAAGGCTTACACCTAGGAAATGAATTACGGTCAGTGCACATTCAATCAATGAGAACTTCCAATGAGTCATTCTGGAAAGATTTTCTAATAAAAACGGAAAATTATACTTCTTAGTTAAAAGGCGTCACCGAACAAAGAACTTATGCAATTCAACGTAAAACACCGTTCATGGGCTTCTAACTGCAATCAAGTCTGTGCAACAATTACATGATACTTCAGTGTGATCACCTTCACCATTCTTGAACTGTCCTTTGACGTATAAATTAAGTTAGGCTCGTTTGGAACTTTGTTTTTTTTGCTTCTGTTGGGCCATCTTACGATTGTAATAACAACCCTATTGTTTGACAGTTCACAGCTGCATATGAAACATTGCTCATGCGTCATGAAATAAAAGCAACAGGTAACGGCATAGCCCAGCATGAAACGTCAATTTTACACGTCAAAAAAGATCATAACATGACACTTCTTAGCGTTTCTGCAGATGTTTTAGACGTGTGTGACACGCAGGTATGATTTTGATGTACGTGACCCTATGCAGGATGACCATGACTACGAAAATGCCCCAAACTGCACACCCATTTTCCCTGTAAAGAAGTAGCCGTAGGATAAATGGCTGGTTATGTAGTCAAAATGACACAAAAAAGAATGCATTGTACAGATGATTTGGAGACCTTTACAATTGAAAATCACAGAAACTTGTCAAAAAAACTAAAGAATATATCGATGAATTAAAATGCACATAGAGAAGTGATAGGAAATACCGTAAAAATTGAGATCACTAAAACTTAAAGAGTGGAACGATTACGAAACATTCAACCATTACTTGGATATCCTTGCCAATAACTCGGTTACACTCGACAATTTAAGGACCAACAATATGGTTACCGCTTGACATCAGGGTCAATACAGTGTGCAATCCAGTTCAGTATAGAAATTAGTGCTGGCTGACTCCATAACCTCGAAGATGACCAAGTTGCCAAGAAATATTCTAAATTTTTTGTCCTAGAACAACAGGTACTGTATGCAATTAAAAAAATATGTACATTTAGGGTTAAGGAGTCAACGTAGAAAAAAAAATCATAGGCTCAATGATATATTTTCAAACTGTTAAAGCTAAAGTATCAGGAGAAAAGTAAGCGTGGTTTAAAATTTCCAAAACAAATTATGAAAGGCGTGAATGAAAACCTTAAACAACTGTCACAAAGTAATCATTTTACGTATTCAAAATACAACAATTAAAACTTAAGACGTGTACACCAATCAGTATTATAAAATCATGTAACATCAGAATATTGATCTACCTCTACAAGTACAATGAAGAGAAGTGAACGTAAGTTTAAAATATCAATGGCTACAACTGCCCACTGTGGTTGGGAAAAAAACCTGCGGAAACACCTTCTAGTATCAATAGTTATCTAAGCATTTACTATAACTAAACAAGCCTGCAAATTTAACGCAAGAATCACTTATCAATTATTCCCAGGAGATTAATGTACGAGTTGTTCCAGACATCAGGATAGATTTGGAGAGAGTGGTGATACATGCAGTACACATTTGCTTGATAAGTGCACATGTAATCGTACTGATTGATACGATCGTAATTCAGGGTGATTGGGGCCGCTACACATTTGCTTGATAAGTGCACATGTAATCGTACTGATTGATACGATCGTAATTCAGGGTGATTGGGGCCGCTACACATTTGCTTGATAAGTGCACATGTAATCGTACTGATTGATAAGATCGTAATTCAGGGTGATTGGGGCCGCTACACATTCAGCTACCTAATACAATAACAAGTAAGACATACGCCTGAAAAATTCAATGTCTCTTAGTAAGATTTTAATTTTGTTTTAAATTTTTGTGCAAATCTACATATGGGCTATCTTCTCATTGTCGTCCCTAACTTTCAACTGATATACTACAGGGAAGACATATAATCAACAATATCCATCGCCTATTGTTTGGCTATTCACATATAACCGAATAGTGGGATTTTACCATTACATTTTACAGTGCATCCACGGCTCCAAAAAAACGCAATACGTTTTTGCGGCTACGGGATGTGAACTCTCAGATTCAGTCAGCGCATAATAAATAATTTTTTTTAGCTCAAGCTGTAAAATGGGCTATATGTGCTCTGCACACCGCAGAGATTGAACCTTGAATTTAATGTTAAAAGCCCTGAAACTAACAGCTGACCTATCGAATATCTTTGTACACAAGCGTTTGGTTACAACTGTAGTCGGTTGTCTTTCAAAATAACAATGCATCTAACCACGCTACAAAAACAAAAACAAACTATTGAAACCAGACTTCGACATTGCTTCTATGTTCCAACAGCTCTGATAGAACTAAGGAACGATTCTTATTTAGACTTTTTTAAATTTCCGTTATAACGTTCAGGATGTTGCTAATTCATTGCCAGTTAGAGTTGTTGATGTCCTGAAGATTCATGGTATACATAATGTTAATTCTGATTCAAAATATGTTTCCATTTCTTTTAATTTGACACAAGACACGTGCATCAACAATACTAATTCCAAAAGAAAATCAATGATTACTATTAACTAGGATTATTTTAACAAGACGGAATGAAGTAGACATTTTGTTGCTTATTATGTTAGTTAAACTACAAGAATTAAGGTATGAAAAAATACTTTTCTTCTTACATTTTAATTCGACAAATTATAGGTTTAAATAAAAATATCCGTTTGTATGTTTGTAGTTAAATACAAAGTTACACAATAGGCTATCTGTGCTCTGCCCACCACGGGTACCGAAACCCGGTTTTTAGTGCTGTAGGTCCGCAGACATGCCACTGGGGGGCATCTGTTAAAGTAAAAGTTGAAATAAAAAACATTTCTCCAATGAGGAAAATTGATTAACAGAGAGTTGAGCAAGCTAAGTGCGACAAATTGTACTGTATCTTCAGTAGAGTAAATTTATGTTAATAATTAGATTCCTTCAATTAAAATAAAAAACAACTAAAAATCTTTGTTAAGAGTTACTTGCAAAATTTTAGAAAAATCAGTAACAAAATACCAGCTCTACATTCTCTACACGTAACCTTTTTATGCTCAGGCAAGCTAGCTCAACAGTGAGCCCAATGGCTTATAACGTTAAATTCGGGGTTCAATCCCTGCGGTGAGCACGGCGCCGGCTGGTCATTTTGTAGCTTTGCGCTTATCAATAACACAAACAGGCGAGCAAAATCCTTAACGCTAAAATTAGAGCATTGTACAAACACTAAATTAAAAAATGAATAATTACCATCCTGGAATGACGTACACTTAATGCCTATACATTTTAAATTAATATTAGTATAGGTTGAGACTGATGTCGAAATATACGTCTACCTTCAATAAACTGGCGCTACAGTTGCTATGGGAACACCTTCAGATGTTATCTGAAGTACACGAATTAGATCAAACAGAGTAAATGTTATCGTAGACGCAGAATTGTGTTGAATTGTCTGTGTGTAGGAAAGATTTTGTGAACAATGGTGCATATGTATTTTACAGTAAGTGCATGCTAATTGAAAAAAATTCAAGAATAAAATTTTACAAAATGGACCTTCCTCGAGATTCCAATAACATATATAGTAAATAGTTCAAAACAAGTTAACTTATGAAAAGCAGTATCAAGAATAAAAAGTCTGATAAAACGAGCATCAAATCTGAATGAAAATTAAAAAATATTGAAGTATTGAAGCTTTATTAAAAATTTAAATATGCGACGCGATTGTGTATATACATTTCCTACTTGAAATGCTGCATGCTCTTAATGAAAAATCCGTTAGAGGGCCTCACCTTTCTTGATATAGTGATTGGGGAGTACGAAGTGTTGGCGTTATGTATGGTCGGCTTTTCTCCAATATCAACTGTTCATGTTCGCTGAAAATCAACAGAAACAATCAGCATCTACATTAATAAATGATACTATATTGAAAATTAAGTATCATTTTGCACTCAGTATCATACAATTAGAAAAGTAAATTTGTTATAAAGAATATCTTGTTCTACCTCTTGAGTTAAAAATGCGAATAATAAACTGTAAATAATCTATTTAAAAACTTGCTTAGCAACTTTTGTATTATTCACTTGTGAAAAACAAACAAACAGAAAAATATTTATTTTCTTTTTGTTAGTTGCAATGCTATACGGTAGATGGCAGCAGAATTAGATGTAAGTTACTGCTCTAATTAGGGGTACACCGATATATTGGTAGTCAACCGGCCTGGCACCGATATAAAGAAATATTATGTTATCGGCTATTGGCCGTTTTGTTGTTGTAGCCAATAACGTACACTGTTATTTTTGTGACGCTTACTTATCTAATTTCATATTTTACACATGAACTCTCACCATGGCCGTGTACATTCCGAATACTGACCTTTGTAATATTAAACTTGTTAAAAGTAGTACAGTAAGTACTGTGTCAGTTTGTTAAATTATAAGCACCCGGATGTTAATTTAAAACAAATCTTCAGTAATGAGATTATTTTTACAAATAGAACAAACTTTATTTTTTCCATCACAATTCAAAATGAAACAGCCGTGAATAAAACTAAACTTGACTAGTTGTCTGATATCTCTGTATACAAAACATGTGCCGACACGATTGTGGCTGACGCAGAGTACCAAGTCTGAAGTTGCTTCATTACACTGGAGTTAGCTCCTCCATATTTGTGCTGTGTTTTGAAGCCGAAAGCCATCTTTTAATTCTCTGAAGTGACAAGGCAGTTAAGCTATTTTTGTTTCTTTGTTTGTAATTAAGCACAAAGCTACACAATGGGCTATCTGTGCTCTTCCCACCACGGGTATCGAAACCCGGATTCTAGCGTTGTAAGTCCTCAGACACACTGCTGTGCCACTGGGGGCTTGTTTTTTGAATTTCACGCAAAGCTACACGAGGACTATCTGCGCTAGCCGTCCCTAATTTAGTAGTGTAAGACTAGAGGGAAGGCAGCTAGTCATCACCACCCACCGCCAACTCCTGGGCTACTCTTTTACCAAC